TTGTTTTTATTATTTATTATTATTATTATTATTATTATTATTATTATTATTATTATATAGTAAGTTATAATGCGAATTTATCTTTGTATGGTTTTCATTTCATAAAAACAACTCCTTAAGTAATTGCATATCTTACATTTAGTGCCCTTGAAAACATATTATTATACCAAATTTCGTACAATTTTTCTTAACAGTTATTTCATCCATAACTGACTTCAGTGTTCAAAATATCCGGTTAATTTACGAAATCTATGATTTTATATTTTGAATATTTACTTTATCCATACTTCAGACTTTAGCCGTAAATTATACCCTCAAAGACGACACTATCTTGCATAGCATTACTAAATGAATTTCTATAAATAAATTCGTTATGTACTGACGATAGCGATCGTTTCTCGATTTTGGCTAAACGACTTGGCTATATAGTCGAAGAACGGTCAAGTGGCTCTAAGTCAATCGATAACAATAGATGAACATGTTATTAGCAGCGGCTGGGATTCATATGACTAGGACTAAACATTTAATAGACCAGTAATGATTATATTTTATTCCGGACTCAAATAATCAAGAGAATGTTATTGTTTTCTGTCAGTGACAACAGCTTTGTAATGTTAATTAACATACATAGGATAAGCAAAAATAGACTCCAAAAATAACGTAGTGCAATGAATTATATTAACACGCATTACCGTTATCCTGTCAACAAGTCGTACCCGGAGCTAAAAACAAAACTCTCCATCTTTGAAACAATTAGAACTTCATTATTATTTTCAATTTTGTACTTGTGGTCCTTATACTTGATGTCTCATACTTAATATGCTAAATATTATTTTTTAAAGTTTTTCTACAGTAGAATTTTGAATTTGTAATGAATAACCTGAAAATAAGGTAATTGTTTGTTTTCGTAGATATATAATAAAAATCATTACATTAAATGTACAAGAAATGAAATTTTCATTTCTTAATAAAGTAATATGTAACTATCAAAATCCTTTCCACTATTATTTTTGGTTAAGTTTATGAAAATATAACTAGAGAAGTTAAAAGACTTGCTTAAAAATGGTTCATTATTATGATACATATTATGCAAAGAAAAAATCTTTTAAAAAGCAATATAACTGTCATTCCTAATAACCAGTAGTGTATTTACGAGGGGGGGGATATATCCCCCTCGACTTCATTTTTATAGATAGTGAAATTTTATCTAATTTTATCTAATTCTCAATATGATATTACTTTTAAATATGTCTACTTTCATAAAAATAAATGTATTGACAATTCACAGCTATTCTACAAGGATTTTCATTCAAGCGGAATACGAAAGTAAACTTGAAAGTGATTCTGAGATATATAAAAATTAAAAAACATTGCTCAAATATATTTATTAAATAAAAAATTGCAGTAAATAAGTATAATATATTTGTTCAGTTGTAATCAATAAAAAAAAAAAAAAGCTTGTTTTAAAAGTGTTTAACGATCATAGAGTTACCATATATCATATATAAAATGTTTAACAGAGGTTTGGTTAACTTAAATATTACTATTCATTACCATAGCTGTGACAGAATAATACATTCATTTTTAATTGACTCGTATTTTGTATTCATAATACATAGATATACCATTATTATAGTAATATATTTTATTTATTATTTCACTGGGTTACCCGATATTTAAATAAATTGCAGTTAATAATTGTTTACATAAAAATTATCACAATCATTATTATGGGAAATTTAATTTAAAAAAATTAGAACGAGTTATTACGAACAATTTTGTAGTTTTTTAATAGTTACTGATACTGAAACCTTAGATTTTACTATGATCATGCGGCTGCTGCAGTAATATGCCTTCTTTTGAAGGTGTCTGAAACGCAAATAATGAAAACGATCATTTTGTGATCGAAAACATTACATCAATAAAAAACAATCTCATATTCGCGGGACATTGTGTATGAGTTTACAGCACCGTCGTCGCTCAAATTATTGTCTAAAATTATAATTTGTATAAATAACGATTTAGATGTAGACCGGTTCATTAACTTCGTTGACTATTGTGAATATTCGAACCGTTTGGTTCAAAGTCTAAATGTATGAGTTGAAGTTTGTGAAGTATTTTTATGACAAGTGATCTGCGGAGAGTGTAGTGTAATTCAATGCAGTTCAAACAAACACGTAAACGTGTTGATTTATGTAGGGTGGGTACAATTACTTAGAAAAAAATATTGTCATAATTTTGATATTAATCATATCATATTTCAGTTTTTTTTTTTTTTTGTAATTTTTAAGACTCTAATTTAAAATAATTTTGTTTAGAATTACTATTCATTTTTATTATTGTATCGTTATAATAATAATGTTATATACTATAGTTGTTTTTTTTTTTTTTTTAATCAAACCATCTTTAAATATTAAATAATATATATTTGATAATAATATTATCAAATTGATTATGAAATATGGCCACTTACTGATATTATTGATATTTTATAAAAAACAAAAAAAAATATATTTATAAATATATAATAATAATATAAGTAAAGAGTTTGATTCTAACCTTATAAGAAATTTTATTTTTTATTAGAGCTATACGAAACAAATCATTGAATTAGTTTAATAATTAACCAATAATTTCTTAAATGGCGAATTTTATTTTATTTTTTTTCAATATTTATGTACTAGTATAAAAAGGCGGGTTCTTATGCCTCGACAATGTAGTCTGAAACCATAATGCCGCTACTTTAATCTATTCTAATCTGACCTGATATAAGATACCACATTAAGTTATCCTTATCTAAATTATATCATACTATTTATTATGCTATCATAATATATGTTATCCTTACACGAATTATCTCCATAATAAATACTGAGTCATTCTAACCCACTTTTGGATTTATATTACATGAATACATTGCGCGTATATTTATATATATTTATTTATTTTTATTTCAACAGAATAATTGGCCCCACTGAGAATGCTCATATGAAGGCCCATATATTATATATTTAATCTTAATCAGTAACGTGTCCAGGATTTTGAAATTGGAAGAGTTCCTATAAGTAAGAGGGGTGGATTACTTTAAGGCCCTATAAATTAATAAGCATAAAATAAATAAAGAACATTAGTTAATAATAAGTCTTAGCCACTAAAAAGCAACTAATGAGGTTTTATATAAGTATAATGGTGAAGTTGTGAAAATAATATATAACAAATATTTAATTGATTAATTATGCATTACAGAGTTATATTATAGTTCTGTAATGATAACAAAAAAATTTAAAAAATGTAAAATCATGAATTTGCTTATTATAATATTATTGTACTATGTACAAAATAAAAATATTAATGAAGTCTAAAATTAAATTTTTTGGTTTAGATGATAAAAAGTTTAAAACATTGGCAGGCATAACTTTAATTTCTTAATATACCTATATTTAAAAGCGACAAGCCATTTAATCTATTATTCGATATTTAGTTTTTAAGGTATGTTTTTAAACGCTTTAAAGTATTATACGATCTTTCTCTTGATGTTATAGTTATAGAAAGGATATTAAGGTATTTTAATAGTTTATGAACATTCAGGAAAACATTTTTATCACACTAAAGAAATGTTTTAGATGTATTTTCAGTTTTGAAATGGATACAATACTTTCTTCATAGTTTCAACTCTTCTATAGCTCCAAATTCAGTAGTTGTCAATATCAAAAACATATGTCTTAACTAAGTTTATTATTTCATACTCTTCATCTTCTAAAGCCGATGAATTTAATTTTTCTGGTAGGAGACAACCAACAGTTTTTAATAAATTTTTAAGTTGTAAGAATTTTTCATTTATTTATATTAAAATTTATCTATGAAAGATATCAAAACTGTCGATCTACCCTAACTTTCTGGGTCAGGGACACCCGAAAGGGGGGGCCAGTGGGGGCCATTGCCCCCCCCCTGAGATTTTTGTGTCAATTACAAAATTGGAAGTTTTTTTTACATAAAGCTGGTCTTAGGTATTTAGGTATTTAGCGACTATGCGACAATCATTGTACCTAACATGTCATAATATATGATATAGGAGGTATTTAATTGAAAAAAAAAACAATACGATTATTAATAATCATTAATCGATAAGTCACTTTTGGCTAGTTCCTACAGATTGCCTGTTAGCGCGAACGAGTCAAAGTAATTATAAATAGTCGATCTCACTTATTGCCGAATAATATATAGTAATAAATTACTAATAATAGTATTTATATTATATATGAATCGTGTATGAAAAACATAATAATAAAATGAAAATACTTAGAAAGCATACGCGATTATAAAAGCAGCCTGTTGTCGACGGAAATAGAAACCTTTTGACAGACATAATTACATTATTATTATTACATTTATGGTATTCTGGGTAATGAGTTCAGCTATCATGAATAGAAGTGTGCGATTACTCTTTATAAATTATTATTAAACGATTAACGAAATATTGTGTTTTCCAAGTCCACGTATTGTTGAGTGTTGACTGTTGTTGCCCTACAATTTACAAATTAACTAATTTTTAAGTTAAAATTATTAAAAAAAATCGTTACAAAAATGCAAATATGGATTCAGTTCCTAAAAAGAAGAAAATGAGAGCACGTGACTCTTATTTTTCAAATGATAAAACAAAAAAGATAAGCTCTTATATTGGATTATTTATGTTTTATTAAAATTACATTCTACCATCATAACAATTTATTGTTTTTGCGAGTTAAATCAATTACATTCATACTTAAAGTATGCATTTTTTCAGTAAATACAACTCACAAGAATACCCGGATATTTAAATAATAAATAGCCAATATTGGCACAATAAGGTCAATTTTTATTTTCATGAATATAACTATTAATTAAATACCTAATTAATAATTCAGTTATAAATTATATTATAATGTAGTCTTTTTAATTATTTAAAAGTAAGACTCTTTCTTTAAATTTAAATTTATTTTGTATTGTTTTTATAGCAGCCACTTGCTACAATTTATCATCATGAAGTAGAACTAGTAGAAGTGTGTAGATGACCCTGTATTTGTTTCTGACCATACTGATGAAGCTAATTTTAAAGAAGTAAGTGTTGTAAAATACAAATTGAGTTTCTTACATTTGATTATTTTTATTTAATTTTTCGTTAATATTTTATCAAAAATGAATTAATATAATAATACAACACAATAGTATACTTAGGTGGCTAGTTAGTAGGTACCTACTACCTACTTAAATAACAAATAGGATGTATTTTAAATAATTTTTTTTTTAAGAATATAATTATTTACTACTAAATAATTATAATGTAGGTAATCTTTTTAATTATTTAAAAATAAAACTCACAATTTTTTGATTATATTTTTATTTTACTGTTTTAATTGTAATAAGCATTGCATTTATTTGTTATGGTTTTATAGAAGTCACTTGCTATAATTGATCACAAAGATAAAGTAGAAGAATGCATAGCTGATCCTGCATTAATTTCTGTAGACCACACCAATGTGCTATCTGATTACGATTTAGGACATTTTATAGAAACTTATTCACAAATTTCTGAAGATAAAAAGTTTGACCTTTTAACTAATCCATGGAAGCCTAGTAAACATTACAATTTTAAAAATGATGTTGAAAACAGTAAACGTCCATTTTTGTATAAATGGTTTTCACAATACCCATGGTTAGTATATTCAAAGTTATTGAAAGGAGCTCTTTGCCTTACTCTCTTTCGGGCTCATGTGACACACGGTTCATACTTTGGATCTTTTATTACCAGCTCATTTGTAAATCATAAAAAATTTGTAGAAAAGGCTAATCAACATGAGAAAAATAAATGGCATATTGAATCTTTCATACGATCCAAAGATTTTAAAGATATGAAAAAAACAAACTGTGGTATTGACCAAGTGTTAGATTCTAGTTATAAAAATAAAATTGAAAAAAATAGAAATAAATTAAAGCCAATAATTTCTTCACTTCTATTTTGTGCAATACATAATTTACCGATTCGAGGAGACACAGACAACACTGCAGTATTTAATGACTTATTAAAATTCAGGGTTGATGCTGGTGATTTGACTTTAAAAACTCATTTATAAAAATCCAATAAAAATGCATTGTACATATCACACCGTGTGCAAAATGAATTATTAGAATGTTTATCTTCTATTTTAAGATCTGTGATTACTAATGAAGCTATGCAAGCATTTTGTTTTTCATTAATTGTTGATGAAACGGCTGACATCAATGGTACTGAGCAGTTATCAATTTGTGTTAGGTATCTGTATAATAAAAATTTACATGAAGAATTTTTAGGTTTTTTCCCTTTACAAGAGTTTGATGCCTCATTTATTACTCAAACAATATTAGAAACATGTACTAACCTAAATATTGATATGAATAAATGTGTTGGACAGGGGTACGACGGATGTGCTACGATGGCTGGCCATATATCTGGAGTGCAAAAAAGAATTAATAATGTGTATCCCATGGCTAATTTTTTCCATTGTGCTAGTCATCATTTAAATTTGGTAATAAATGATTTGAATTCTCTTGCCGAAGTTAGCAATTGTGTAGGGAAAATAAAAGAAGTTACTACATTTGTTAGAGATAGTGCACTTCGTAGAAATATTGTAGGAAATAATTTGCCAAAATTATGCGAAACAAGGTTTGTTGAAAAACATAAATGTATCAAAAAATTTAAGGACCAATATGTTACAATTGTTGAAGGCTTGGAAGAAATATCAAAATCCAATAATTTTAACAGCAAAATTAGACAGCGTTGCTATGAAATGCTTACTGCAATCACTACTCCAACATTTGTTGTAATATTATCAATCATGGCAAAATATTCTGCAAAATTTGAAACTGTATCAACAGTTCTTCAAGGGATAGATGTTGACCTGCAAGAAGCTACAAAACATATTCAAGACCTATTATCAATGTTAGAAATAGACCGTAATAATTGTGAGAATATATTTAATTCAATATTTAATGAAGTAAAATTAGTTGCTTCTAAAATAGATCTTAAGTTAAAGTTACCACGGCGTAATGTTAAACAAGTACATCGTGAAAACTATCCAACTAACGATGTGGAGGTATATTTTAGACAATCTTTATTTATACAATACTTGGAATCAGTTATAATGTCTCTCAAAGATAGATTTTCAGATGAAAAATTAAAAATATTTACATTATACAACCTACACCCCAAAAAAATGAAACTAATGAGCGACCAACAATTTGCAGAAAGTGTTGAATTTATTTGTACACTTCTAGACAATTTTAAAGAGCACTGTCATGGTATGATCTATGGAAAAAGAAAGAAGTCGAACCCACCATGAAATTAATTGATATTCTCGATTACGCCACATATTACCCAGCGGTATGCCAAGCAATACAAATTACAATTACTTTACCTGTAACTTCCTGCTCAGTAGAAAGATTGTTTAGGTAAGGTTTTTAAATAAATATTTTTACAAATTTTATTCTGTATGTAAATTCATATTTAACAATAACTTTTTTATTATGTTTCAGCACTTTACGCCGTTTAAAGACATGGGTTAGAAATAGGATGGGAAACGAAAGACTGAGTAGCTTGGGGTTAATTAATATACACCGCCAAAGGTATTATGATGAAAATTTTTTTAATCAACAAATTGATAAATCAATTAATTTATTTGCTTCTAATAAAAGGAGATTATCATTACTTTTTGAGTAAAATGTAATGTGATGTATAAATATTATGATGTAATATGAAACATGTAATGATGTAATATGTAAATTCAAATCAAATAAAGTTATTTTTTGTTTAAACTTTATTATGTTTTTTGTAAATATTAGAACTAATAGTGTAATTTTATATTAACTTAAATTAGTTTTGATTTTTAAAAAAATATTAACGATACTATTACAAAGTATGAGTAGATGAAAGATGTAGCGATAAATCTTCCTATAAGTATTTAGGTAGGTACTTGCAATTGTTTGCCCCCCCCCCCTGAGCTACATTGCTGCGGGCGTCCCTGTTCTGGGTCTATGTAATTTACCCGCTGTCGTATGAAACAGTTACCTAATATTCTATTTGGACATAAGTAACTAATATATCACATTCACACTATTATACTTATACAGACATATGTCTAATTGACTAATGAATCTAATAAGTCTTATTGACGATCGCGTTGTGGCAAGAGCGCGAAAGCAATATAATAATAATAATTTTTTTTTTGTAATTTACCGAGAAAAATTTACGTAAATCTACGTGATAAAAAATTACCGAGCTTACGTCTCTAGATATCACCAATAAACTGCATGGACCGGCGAGATTAGGTTAGACTGTACATTATTAAATGTTTACTTTTTTCTACTACTTTAGCCTAGAAACTCTACAGAAATCTATTAGTCGAAACACATATTAATATTACGTATTAACTTTGTTAGAAAAATATCTAAAAATATGACATATCAAGGATTTTAAACAGTACATAAAAACACCCATTCAAAACAATATGACTTGAACAATATGCAAATTAATAACCACGGGTACAGTGGTTTATCTCTATGTGTCACTCTTACGTGTTTATCTCTAGGAAATAAAACACACGAGGAACATGTTGCATCAGTTCCTTTCCAGTAAATTAACTCAATACACTATGCTGGTGCGAACAACATCGATTATAATATTCCATGCCTTAATAATATATTTACCATGAATACTTTCAAAGAAAAAAAGTAACCTCTTAAATGTGTGAAATGTATACCAGAGAGATAACAAATTCTTAAAGTAGTTATATCATATCTAATTTTAACATATATTCATGTATTATTTTGTGACACTTTTCAATAATGCACATTATAAATTAGATAACAACTAAATTTATTTTCCTCTCAACTTATGAATTTAAACCAAGTTATTTGCTGATTTTATAGGAAAAAATTAAAAAAAAAAAAAAAAAATGAAGACCTCATTAAAAATGACTTGATTTTAGTTAATATACTTAAAACATGTCTACAAAATTACTTATATTTTATACATTACTAAATCCAATAAGTTTTGGAAAAATGTACTAGTGCCAAATATTTTTATGAGCACTAAAGCTTGGATAGATAAACACTTTATTACATTATATTCTAAGCATCGCTCAAGATCGTTTCTAATTTTAAAATAATAATATTTAGTATAACTATCATAGTTCTACACTGAGTCAAATGAAATGGAATGTAGTAAGCCTATATCTAGAATTTATGCCGAGTTTAAATTTATTAACTTTTACTTATTTTTTTTTTTTTTTTTTTTTAGTCGTTAACTTACTGATATGATAAATTTAAAAAATTAAATAGTTAGATCTAAGATTAAGATTATGTGAATATTGTAAACACATTTCTGCACGCACTAGAAAAAATACTCGATAATTATATTAATGTTGCCGAGCTCCAGAAATAAATATGCTGTAGTATTATTTTTAAAGAATAAATTTCTCTAACATCTATGAAAAGTGTAAGTATATGACCGTCGGCAGTCTTTATAGTTTATATGTAAAGACATGAATTACTGATATTAATTGGTTCATAGGTCTTCGATGCTCATATAAGAAACCTATGTCAGCAAATCCAAAGTCGGATATCGTTCTACAACAATATTATTTTTCTTCAATCGACTTAATATAATATATACAATCAGCAATCATTATACTACTATAATTTTAATAGTATACTTTGTATTCGATGTTTATTATCAGAGTAAATGTATACTTTTCAATGAAATACTTGAGCAATGATAAGTACATAAGTACATGTACTATCGTATACAAAGGGAGTAGTGGAGCACTACAATTTTATCAGTGTATCATAATATTCACCAGGTATAAAAATACCTTGATATGACTCTGAACAGCAATGGGCATGTCATATACAATAATATATATGGGAGTGTGCGTGTGTATAACATGTGAATTATGCGTGACTATTTGTGCATAACAATTATATAAATCAATGTACATATGGGAGTGTAAGCGGCCACGTTGTTTGATGCTACACATTTATATAGTATATATATATATATATATATATATATGAATTACACTATAACTTTACTCGTGTAATCGCATCAAATAGCTCGACAGTACTACATGTAAATTAACGTTTTTGCCTATTGAAACGAATCGTGAGCTCGGATAATCTTTACCAAAAATACGATATTATTATACGTTTAGCTAACGAAAATCGACCACGAGACTACAACCAATATTTGATTTTATTATTGTTTTGGTCAACTACAGCATAGCAATCGTATTGCAACTCGTTCTAAACTTTTTTACCATTAATATATTATGTTACCGTGAAACGTTTACGACGTTTGTACGCGTGTGATAATTATAACCGCGGTACAACTTCTACAGCAACGCTTGTGATTTTATTATTTTATTTTAAGATAAACGTTATTGGAAGAGTGAAATGTACCTAAATACTTTCACATTTTTATACGAACGTTTCAAATCTTTTATTGTGCAAATGGGTTTTTGCTATTAGCCTTTGGTTGGTGTCCGCCGTGCATGAAATCCGTTCGTTGATGAACTGAGCTCAACTCTGTTCCACGAGTTGAACGCAGATTACGTGGTTTCTGAGATTTGTTAAGTCTAACTTAGAAACCTTCATTATCAGTGCGACGTCGTACGACTAGGTTCAAATGTCGGTTATTGCAGCGTAGCATATAAAACGACTGCTCCTTAAATCGTTAAGATTAGATAGACTGTGAGTATTAATAAGCAAATATAATAATATACCCGGACTATTTTTATTTATTTATTTTTTTTTTTAATTAAATAATATTGACCAGCGGTGTATTTTCAATTTTTTTTGTGGGGGGAAGGTTTTATATATTTCCAAAATAAAAAAAAAATTATAATAAAAAATACATATGTAAGGTAGGTATAAATTAATAATTATATTATTATATTATTATTATAAATAGTAATGAAGAGTTATTTACAACCACTTTATATAAATTAATGTTCTCTTTCTTTGTACTTTTGTAGTAAGTTACTTATGATTTTTGAACCATTCTTTTTTCTTCTGGGAGGGGCAACCTCCCCACCCGAAAATACGCCACCGATATTGACAAATACATACCTAGTATTTGATCTTCGGATTTTTTTTTCCCTTACGTATAACAGTGTACATTTTTTGTACAGTATTTGTTTTCCATATTAGTACAACATTTTAGTAATTTACTTTTTTTGTTGGTCTTTAGCTATGGTATTGATATAATATATGCTAGTTCGTGCGTCTAACCATATTTAGGAATTTTCCATGCACAGTGGTTTTTTATTTAGACCCGATAATTTCACATTATGTTGTTATTTTGTTTATAACCTGGTAAGTAAATACAAAAATGTATCTAATACAAATGTTTGATGTAATAATAAATTGTAGTAATTATAATAAGACTACATTATTAAATACATTATTTTTGAATAATTTCTTTAGTAGTATTATTTATACTGTATAAAGGTATGTCTAGTGTATTTTTTTGGAAAAATAACAAGGACGCATTTATTGTCATTTTGTAAGTTTAATATATTCGTGTTTCATGTAAATATATACTCAACATTTTGGGACGAAGTGCCTTATTTTATGAGCATTTTATGAGATTGTTGCTGAATAATTTTAGGAATATCTAATGTCTATACTCGATAGTCTATGCTTCTATAGTATAATTGTTATAATATATTCTAAAATTTCACGCAAAGTTTTAATACCAGTATAATCAAAAATAATTAAATGTTTTGAGTATGTAAATAGTTCGTTATTCGTTATGTTACAAGATTTAATCAAACGTATGTTTATTTTGTTTTTGGTTTTATCATTATTCTTAAATCTGTCAAGTGTTTGGAAGTTACAAAAAAACGTCTGTGTACGATTAAAATGTTATTAATTATTAATTAATTTTTTTAATAAACGCCAATCGGCAATTTATAGATACATTATAATTTATAGTAAATTAACAAGTTATGGTTGTGTTATAGAGATTACAGCAGAAACAATATATGAAACAGACGTAAATAATAAACTTAAATTAAACAATAGGCAATTATTGGAGTACGTGTTGGTGTAAAATAAAACTGAAAACTAAGCATATAGTAAAGATAAATATTTATGTTATATTAATCAGCTCAAATCTAGGAATTGTTAAATTGACGGATCATTCTATCTCGTGAATTGTTGTGGGAATAGTACGATGGGTAGAGAAATGGAATAGAGAGTGATTTATAGTAGAATGAACAGGAACGCGGAAAGGGATAGAATATAGAAGGTCCAGAGCATCTACTGAGCCATTAAAGAGAGAGGTGATAAGGGAAAGATCAGCATATTTAAAGAAGATCTAACAGATAGAGAGTCATAGGATGAGTGGTCAATCTTGATTAAAAGAGTGGCGTAGGACGAGAAACGGTTTTGAACTCGCTCTAGTCATAATTAGTACTTGGTTAAGTAAGGTTGCCATACAACTGAGTCATATTCTAAAATAGAGCGGACAAGGGAGAAATAAAGAGAGTGAAGACAAGTAGCAGACGTGAAAAGTTTTGGTGTTGTGTTGTAAGAATCCGAGAACTTTTAA